AGGGAGCCCTTTTGCATGGAAATCCAAAAACACAGACAAAGATGGAAGAAACTAAAGGTATCCAGGGGACTTAGGACCTAACTCCAAGTGTCAAGGGAAGGACTGTGTATTTGGGTCTGAGGATCACCTACTCCCATGAATACCTAGGGTACCCGTGGGAGCAAGTGATCCTCAGACCCAAATAGTTTCCAATTTTCAGTTTAGGGGAAAAGAATAAGAAAGACTTCTTGAAGTTCATGTATCCCAAAGTTTATTTCTTCAACACAGGGCATCTCCCTCCCTCTCCTTCCTTCTCTCTAACACACACACACACACACACACACACACACACACACACACAATAGCCCACCCTCTCAAATATCCAAAGGTAGGCACACCCACAAATATACAAGCCACAACGAACTTCACAAATACACAAACTACACATGATGGCAAAATCCATTGTGCCCACATAAAGAAACAAGTGACATGTCTTCAAGGACACCTCACTACTCACGAACATGTTTATTACCACATCTGGCCCATGAGAGGATGGACACGAATGCAAGCAAAACCCAAGTGTCAAAGCACTTTCTAAACTTGGCTGTGTTTCTCAGCCACCCTCCCCAGGCTTCTTTAAGGTTCTGAAGATTAAACAGTGGGTAGCCAACTTTGTACACATGCCTGTAAACAAGAGGGCTCAGCTTTAAATAATTATGTCAAAGAAATGACAACTGTGCTCTTTGCCAGAACAGGGATGAATAATTACAAAGCCAGGACATAATTAAGCAATTCTGACTGTCGGATTTTTGAGCTGTCTCTCTGCAGTGCAAGGCTGGCGAGCCCACCACACACGTCCTCCTGGACAGGCCTCTGCACCCCTTTGATCTGTGTTTCCCAGTGCAGTGAGGGGGTCTACAGTCTGGTTACTAGAGAGCTCTTTCTTTGGGGACCCGAATCTTCTCTGTATCCAGCGTGGTGTTCTCTGTATTAAGAATGGCATGATTCAATGGCCAATATTTGATAAATTTATATACATACTTTATATATTTTAATTTGGGGAAATGACAAAGCCTAGCTGTTTCAGGTCCATCAACTAATAACACACACACACACACACAGAGAGAGAGAGAGATAGAGAGAGAGAGAGAGTGAGTCTGGAAGCATCCTTATAGCATCAGCTATCACTTCCTAATGAATGACAGCATCTTTCTGTACAACAGTCAGAGCTCAGACAGAAGGCAGTTTTGAAACAACAAAAGCCAAAAGGCAGCAACAGAGGAGAAATGTGTTATGATGGGAGAAAGTGAGTGAGGACTTGCACTCAAGCGTCAGTGCCTGCCGGGAACCCAATCAGGCCTCTGTGACATCGGGCTTTTATCACCTCCTGGATGGTTCTGCATTTGTGTCAGCCGAGAACACCCAGACTCCCCGTTCCCTACCTCCAAGGCAAGGGCTGTGATTGGAGAGGCATTTTCCATTCTCCCAAATACTTTATGTCAGGAATAAAATGAAAACAGCTCCCCAAATCACGGCTGCCTTGATCATCCATCAGCGTATTCTGCTGAATAAGCACAACAGGCCTTGGCTGCCCTGGAAAGGACAGAAGCCAGCTTGAGATTCTGATTCCATCATGAAAAATAGGTCTTTCCTGAGTGTGCTCAGCACAGCAGCAGCAACACATGGAAAGGAAATCGCTTGCCACTTAGAAGCTGACTCTGGTGTACACATAGCTCCCAGAACATGCATATGTATATATACACAGACACAGAAGCGGGTATCCACACCTGCATGGGAACAAACATATGTCTGTATACATAGTGAACAGGTGAGAACCAGCCTTTTTAATGCCAATTTAGTAATTTAGAAAGGAGCTCATTTAGCCTTTTTCTTTCTACAAGAGAAGCACCACTGCATATCTCTGAAAATAACAGACGAAAGGGAAGTGCCTGCCATTCAATGTAGGTATCCAGTTCTAGATGAATTCAAGAACACAGAAGAATCATCCTGAGCATTTGAAGAATCATGGCATAAATTGAACATCTAACTGGAAACCCAGACCCCTGGGGGTTCTGGTCCCAATTCCATAGAGCCTCAGGAAATTATACCTTCTCCCAGCACCCTCATCCATGAAACAGGAGCACAGACTAGGTGATACCTAAGTCCTCTTTGGTTAGGAAATCATGTGACTACAGGAAGAACCAAGATCCCCATAATTTATAAGAGTACTTTTGTCTCTCTCCTCAAATAATTAACAGGTATTTTATTTTTAACATTTGTTTTAGGTTTGGGGGTAGAAATGCAGGTTGGTTATATAGGTAAACTTGTGTCATGAGGATTTGTCATACAGATTATTTCATCACCCAAGTACCAAACCTAGTACTCAATAGTTATTTTTTCTGCTCTTCTCCCTCCTCCCAACCTTTACCCTCAAGTAGGCCCCCATGTCTGTTGTTGCCCTCTTTGTGTTCATGAGTTCTCATCATTTAGCTCCCACTTATAAGTGAGAACATGTGGTATTTAGTTTTCTGTTCCTGCGTTAGTTTGCTAAGGATAATGGCCTCCAGTTCCAATCATGTTCCTGCAAAAGACATGATCTCTTTCTATTTTATGGCTGCATAGTATTCCATGGTGTATATGTATCACATTTTCTTTATCCAGTCTGTCACGGATGGGCATTTAGGTTGATTCCCTGTCTTTGCTATTGTGAATAGTCCTGCTCTGAATATCCACGTGTATGTGTCTTTATGATAGAACAATTTATATTCCTTTGAGTATATACCCAGGAATAGGATTGCTAGGTCAAATGGTAGTTCTGTTTTTAGCTCTTTGAGGAATTGCCATACTGCTTTCTACAATGGTTGGACTAATTTACACTCTTAACAGGCTTTTTAAAGCTTAATGCAGTTAGTAAGGATATTGAAGTCAATCATACAAACATGAACTAATTCTAGAATTGATTAGAAACTAATTGGGAACTCTGAAGAGCATTTCTGCTGATGTTGCTAATGACTCAGAAACAGCTAATGCTGGATTTTAAGGAGCCAGTGTCAGATGCTTTCAGAAGCAAGGAAGGATTTCGATTCCCTCCTCAATCTCTATTCAACAGAATAGTCCTGGTCTTACTCATTTTCTTCATTTAGACCTCAGAAGGTTTTGCTTGAACAAAGAGATCCACAGGATAAATATTTAGCTCACTGCTCCAGGAGTAAGAAAGGAAAGAGAGAGGAGTGTGGGCCCAGTGGTCAGACACAAGGTAAACCTCAAGCTATACAATTACTAGCCAAGTGACCTGTGGCAGCCCAGTTAACTTCTCCAGGCCTGAGTTCCCTCATCCATAAAGTGAGCCGATGACCCCTTCCTTCTACTATAGAGGGTGATGTGAATACTTGCAGAACTGTGCACCAAGAACCTTAGAATAATGGGGGGGGGGGGCAAACATTGAGTGCCCCATTCAGATATGGTGGGCGCCACATTTATTACCCCTTCAGATTTTGAGTGACAAGGTAGAGCTTCCCACATCAAAGGCAATGAGCACAGGAGAAATACTGATCCACTCTGCACACAGGTATACACATGTATACAGATGTATCTAAGAAGGTGAGACATGTGGGCAGGTTATTTCTAATAACCCAGGATATTATAGAGTGCATTTGCTGTACTTTTGCTGGGTTTTGTCATGTTGGCCATCTCTGGACTGTTTTCCCCAAAAACAAATAAAAAGAAGGCCATGAAATAAATTATTTCATTTGGAAAAATTACAAAAGCTGGAATAAGTAAAGGCAATCGTGTGCAACATATCAAACCTGTGCCTCGATAGGGGGAACTGTTAACACTTTAATAGCTACGAAATGAATCACTCAATTAATTTCCCACATGCTGAAAGAGGTAACAATACATTTATCTGCCAGTATTATACCCTCCCTATCATATATTTCCACAACTGCTAGCAATTTTATTCAGCATAATGGGAAATAAGTTGTACCTCATGGATTCAGGGAAAGTGACCTGAGGTCTGCTGCCAGCAGAGCAACTTGATGGAAGATGTTTCATTGTTCTGTTTTGTTTTTGTTTTTTCTCCCCGCTCCCCACCACCCTTAATCACTTCCAATGCACGTGCAGAGTGCTGTAAGTCAATAGTTGAGGATAAACTAGACCTCTAGGATATCAGTACCAGCATTTTCAACACACAAGCTGCAATCTCATGGGAGGTGACTGCACAGCTCCACAGAGCTCAAGGCGATGACGGTTCTCCAAGGAGGTCATCAGGGGTCATTGAGTTCATTCCCCAGCCTATGGCTTCACTGAAGGACTCCCAGCTCCTCCCAAAGAGACAGTCATCCTTGTCCTTAAAAAATCTCCTTGTGTCTGAATCCAGACCCCAAGCCAAATCTCCACTGCCTCATCAGAGCTGCTATTAGGATGACACCAAATTCACTTACAGGCTCAGCTGGTAAAGGAAAGGTCAGTAAACACCATTCTAATAAGCTCTGGAGAGATACATGTGGAGGGCATATGCCAGCCTAGGGACACATTGTCAGAAAACATCACCTTCCACACTAACGATATCTCAGAGAGTTGTGGAGCCCTTGCCTGTGATGGAAAATCACTCTTCCCTAGCATCCCTTTGGCAGTAAAAAAGTAAGGCCCCCTCTGAAATACTAGAAGAATCTCACCCACTCCAGAAGCCCACCCACGCCCAATGCTTTCCTCTTTCTCCTTTCTCAGCTGCAAACCTGCAGAGGCCCCAGTTAGGGAATATCTCCAAGAAGGAGACCTGCAGTCCCCTGCAGAACTTCACCATTGGTCTATGCATAGTGCTGCTTTCTTGTTAAAACAGGAAGATCTGACTGGTACTTAATCCTATTTCATGTTTGGCCAACAATGTATCCATGGATGGCCGCTTCATGTGAGATCTCAACTGCATTCTAAACATTCAGAGGACATTCTCCATGCCCTGGAGCGTAAGCACTGCCATGAGATCTAAATCCCTTGTGAAGAGCGGGGAGTAGGCAGCTCACCTTGGGCTTCACCACCTTCATGAAGGCTCCTCTGACCAATGCCTCCTCTCGTTCTTGTCTGGTTACTTTCCGGGCATCCAGAAATTTCAAGTTGGGTAGCTTGTACAGAACAAAGCATCTGGAAGACAAGAGTCAGAGACAACTCGGAAAGGTTTGAATGGCAGCCCAAGAGACCCAGACAGCCTGTCTGATCTTCAGGAATCCACACCATCTGGTCTTCCGGAGCTTAGACCTTGGCGGCTCCTCCTCTCTTCTTTCACAAAGAACAAACAATTGCTCCTTGGAGAAGTCAGAATGCTTCTGTCTTACCCAGATGTACAACTATACATTAGAAGCACACACTAAGGGTACACTTGGCTCAAAGGTAAACACACATACATGTGGGTTAGCCAGTAGCACCCTATCAATGTATTCCCTTCTTTCCAGTCTGGAAAACACACTTAGCTTTGCTATAGAGAAGTTCTCAGTAAAATCAACCTATAAATTGAGTGTGCCCTTTACATCACTGTCATCCTTATGGGTCATCTGTATCACAGACAGTAATGACCTGGATGACTGTGGGTTAGAAGCGAAGAACGCATGTAGCTGAGAAATGCTTCCTTGAGGAATCAGGCAGGGGTCTTAAGAGCTTTTTTCTCATCGTTCCTTGATAATTCATGTGGTTATTTCCACACTTGCTGATCTACGAAGATTATGAAGGAGACATAGGGGGAGTTAATTTCCAGGAGATATTAATGGCCCAACAAATGCTAGGTGCTCTCCATTTCCCGGGAAAAACTTCTTGGCATACATACAGAGTCCAGAAATAAGCCAATGGCTGCTAGTGTAATTAACTGTCCTCAGATAGGTATATATGGAGTTAATGAGGATAGCCACTTGGCCAGGGTATCGTTATATAAATGTACAAACAAATATGTAACAGGTATGGACACGTGTCTATACTTCTCCCTTGTCAAGGATAGTCACTAATAAGATGCTTTCCATTAAGTTCCATAGCCCACCAATCAGACAAGCTAATTGTTTCCACCCTATACTGCTTAGCAAGAAGAGGTAAGTAGCCAGTGTCAAGAGTAATGGATAATCTCCGAGGGAATCTGCCATTTCCTCCCCACACCCAGGCTCCGAGCCTCATCTCCTATGAAGGTTTTGTGTACACCTCCAGCCCACACTGCTTTTTCCCTTCTCAGGACTCCTAGAATGTGCTATCAGCACCTTACAGTCTAACATTCTGTTGTTTTCTGATTATTTTCTTGGTGTTCCTTAATGTCCTTACCTAAACTGTAAGCTTCTTGAAGATAGGGACTAATTTCTTTGATCTCTCTCACCAAATCTTGAAAACTGGCATTAGAATGGAGTTAATAATATACCAGTTTATTTCAGTTGCACAAATATTTCTTGATCTATGTGCCAGGACTTAGGGATACAGAGGTGATTACAACATGCTTCCTGCTCTCAAAGGTGTTCTCAGTGTAACAGCAATTATACACTCACATGGAGAAATTAGGAATCAGCATAGCTAAGTGCCAAGATTGAGGTTTTCCACAGAGTGCTTACTGGAGCACAGAGAAAGGGGTCTACTTTCCCTTACTCAGTGGAAAAGGAGAAACAGGAAATCTCAAGTGGGCATCAAGGAACCACACCCCAAGGCAATCCCAAGCACCTAGCTGTTCCTCAATGAGGATATTACTTGGAAGAGTGTGCCTCCCTCCTTACTGGAGCCTTGAGTTCTCAAGACCACCTTCCACATTCATAAAGTGGTCTCATTACTGGTGGCAGTAGCAGCCCGTCTGGAGCAATTGCTGCAAATACACCAGCTTCAGTAGAGACTACTTGCCCAGAGCTGGCAGGAGCCAGGAATAGGCGGGAGCCCCACGCCCTCCTGAGTTGGTGGGGCAACAGCCCCTGCTCCAGTGTGCAACTGCAGCCGCCCAGCTACAGACCCAGGCATCCCTGTGCTCTAGGGGGCTTGGGAAGCCCCCTCCCCTGGCAGGATTGGAAGTGCCTGCTCCTGCTGCCTGGCCTCTCCCTATTCCCAACACCCACTCCAATTTCAGAGAAAAGTTGTGGCCAAGCCCATTCACTGCCACCATGTGACTGGGTGGGTATATACTCGAAGCAGTACTGAAATGCCAGCCACCTGTCACCTCAACCCCTCTGGACTTTGGATGCTGACAAGCACAGAAGGAAGGCCAAGGGGCAGCTGAGGACAGCTCTGCATGGGCCTGCAGGCATCCCTTGGCACAAACAGCCTGGGTACCATAGGCATTGTGGACAGCAGTTTGATGACTGGCAGCAAGAGTCAGATGGGCTCCTGGGTGGAAAGGGCTGTGTCCCCGGTGAAGCCCCACCATCAGGCCAGGGATGGCCTAAAGCACAGGGCCTGGGCTGCCAGTTTCACAAACTGGACTAAAAACTTATGGTGCTTTTTCTAAAGACTAAAAACTTATGGGTGGCCTGCCCATGGCCACCCATGGACCAATCAGCATACACTTCCATTCCTCTGAAGCCCATAAAAACCCCACATTTAGCCAGACTCGGGCAGATGATGGAACAACCTGCCTGTGGAGAGGAGCTACCCACTCTGGGTCTCCTCTCTGCTGAGGGCTGCACAGACACTGAGATGACCTGCCTGCAGAAAGGAGCTACCCACTTTGGTTGTCCTGAGAGCCGTACTCTCGCTCAATAAAGCAACTCTTCGCCTTGCTTACCCTCCAGCTGTCTGCATCCTTCATGACTCCTGGATCTGGGACAAGAACTTGGGACCCACCAAATGGCAGGACTGAAAGAACTGTAACACACACAGGGCTGAAACACATCCCCCTCCTTGCCACATTGCAGGCAATCAGAAGGAGAGAAGAGTTACAGCCCTTTGGGAAGCCCAGACCTAATAGCTCCCCAAGCCAGGGCTATGACACCCTCTTTGGAGCTTTGTGGTTCCTGGCATCTCCAAGCTACCAGGTGCTACTATGTTCCCCAGCACCTGCAGTGGAAGCCACTTGTGGTATGCCTGGTCCAGATGCAGCCTCACAGGGAGCTGGCGCCCATGCCGGTGCCTAGAGTTGTCCAGCCACCGTTGCCAACACGCCTGGCTGTGTGCAGTGGCCGAACCCCATGCTTGCTCCCTCATGTACCCCTCACTGTCCCACACCTGGCTCACCCTTGGTAGGCACAGGACCTGAACTGGTAGCATGAGTCACGTGCAGCCTGCCAGTAGGTGGAATGAGCCCAGCGGGCCCAGGCAAAACTCAGGCAAAGGCACCACTAGCCACAGAGCTTTCCAGTAATGAAGTGACACCCCAAGGATCTGGTGACATTATCACCAAGTGGCCTGCATGTGCGTATCCAGATAAAAGGCTTAGCTGACCACCCCAAAGCCAGAAAAAATAGTTTAGAGGTCTGCAGGAATAACCTTCATAGGACTCATTCTTTTTTTTTTTTTTTTTTTTTTTTTTTGAGACAGAGTTTCACTCTTGTTACCCAGGCTGGAGTGCAATGGCACGATCTCGGCTCACCGCAACCTCCGCCTCCTGGGTTCAAGCAATTCTCCTGCCTCAGCCTCCTCAGTAGCTGGGATTACAGGCACGCACCACCATGCCCAGCTAATTTTTTGTATTTTTAGTAGAGACGGGGTTTCACCATGTTGACCAGGATGGTCTCGATCTCTTGACCTCGTGATCCACCCGCCTCGGCCTCCCAAAGTGCTGGGATTACAGGCTTGAGCCACCACGCCCGGCAGGACTCATTCTTAAAGTCAAAATACTATGAAATTATTTTCCTCCTTCAGAAATGTCTACCCCATGCCTGATGTTCTGAAATTTGACTCTAGTTACTTCCTGCTTCCTCCCTGGTCTCAATCTATGGCTCTCTTTCCTACCCTGGGTTCTCCCTTCTCTCTCCAAATACCAGCTAACCTCACCCCAAATCAAGAAAGTGCCACAAACCCATAAATATCTTTTCTTTTCTTTCTTTTTCTTTCTTTCTTTCTTTTCTTTTCTTTTTTTTTTTTTTTTTTTTTTTTTTTTTTTTTGAGATGGAGTCTTGCTCTGTTGCCCAGGCTGTAGAGCAGTGGCATGATCTCTACTCACTGCAACCACTGCCTCCCAGGTTCAAGCAGTTCCCGTCTCAGCCTCCCGAGTCACTGGGACTGCATGTGTGCACCACCACATCCAGCTAATTTTTGTATTTTCAATAGAGACAGGGTTTCACCATGTTGGCCAGGCTGGTCTCAAACTCCTGACCTCAAGTGATCTGCCCACTGGGATTACAGGGGTGAGCCACTACCAAATATCTTCTCCACCCTCCAGTAGAGCTCCCACCGGCCTCAGTCAATGTCAGAGAAAACTTCTGACTTCTGCTTGTAGCAGAAAAGTCTTGATGACAACAGACTCTTTCAAATAAAGACACGTACAGACAGAAACAATATGTCAGGAGTGACGCGCAGGGAGTAAAGACACCCACTAAGTGTAGGGTGGGAAAAGATGAATATTCAGGTGAAGAAAACATCGGTATTAGAAAATCAGCCAATGTTTAACGATGGAGTGAAAGATGCCTTCATGGGGCTGGCAGAACCACGATGACAACAGACCGCACATTGTCATTTTGCCTCACTTTGGATCACAGCCCTGAAATCAAAGGAGAAAGAGAGAAAGAGAGAGGTGCTGGCTTTTAAGCTAGTTAAAAATTTTAGATGACAAAGAGCTGCTGTTTTCAGATCACTCTTCTTATACAATCAAAGAGACAGCCTATGACACAGGCTGCCAGTCACCCCCTGAAATGAGGAATGACTTGACACCCATCCCAGGGGCCAGCCTGGGTTTCCAAGTGGTTGCTGCTTGGAGAGGTTTGAGGGACACTAGGAGGGCTTGTTTCAAATAGTTCCATCTGAGATTCAGCCCAGGGTCCAAAGTTTCTCCCATAGAGATGTCTTCTTTCATTTACTGACTCATACATTCGCTCATTCAACAAATAATTATGGAACAGCTACCACCTGTCAGGACCCGGGTCCGGTGCCAAGATAAGGAGCTGAGCAATCTAGAAGTTCTGTGCTCTCAGGGAGCTTCCATTCTTGCACAGTGGTTCCCAAACTTCAGTGGGCATCAGTGTCCCCTGGAGACTTCC